TTTGTGTGTGCATGCTCCCTCAGTTTTAGTCCAGAAGAGTAGAAGTTACTTAATATATTCATGTTTATGTGCTGACAGAAAAAACACTTAAATATTACTGATCAAATAATATTAGCATTTATTTTTTGTGTACAGTAATATACAGTATATATATAATATAATGCGTATTGTTTATTTAGTAAATTCTAGTAGTTTAGCTATTTGACTTTTTTTCGTAAAATTTAAAAGAATGATTAAATAAATGTTACTACACCCAAAAATCCTTTTTTCAGTGCAGGGTCCTAAAACAGGTTGTTAAATGCACCTTTTATGGTTTAACATTGTGCTGTTTTTGTTTGTTTTGTTGGTGTTTAATGTTGGAACCCTCAGTGGAGAGGAAACCAGAACCAAGCAGGCAGCTGGAGGGAAGCTGCGACAAGAACATCAATAAAGTCGTATCTACTGCTTTAAGTTTTAGAATATGGTTTACCTTTAAATGAACTACGTGACAGTGGCTTTAAAAATCTGATTAGGACTGAGGGGTGTTTGAGGATGAAAGGTTGTTGGAAGTCGAAGCCTTTCGCAGCTTTGTAGAGTGCACGTTTACAGCAGCTTGGAGGTAAAATAAGCTGATTTGCTGAATTTTATTATCGCTAATGTTAGGCAAACCTTTTTTTATTCGTGCAACAGCACCAACAGTTTGGTTAACCAGAAACTGGCAAGTGGTGCACATGTAACCTGATTTCCCAAATCAATCTCCTCTGTACATCTACAGCTCTGTAAAATACTTTTCCATCTAAACATGGAGTTTTACTCAGAAAAACATCATTATCTGGAATATGTTTGAGTTTGGGGTATCAATCTGGATTAGTCACATTAAATAAATAATCTATGCAAGAACATTGACAACAGTTATTGTTTTTAGTCATTTAAAGTTCACCAGTGAGAAATGATTCATTTTGCTGAGTAAAACCCAGTAAACAACACACTGTTCTGAGCTGAGGTTTACATGAGGACATTGGCACGAGTGTCAGGTAGCCGGAGCCCCACCAGTCCACCTCCAACTAGCACAGCCGATGCCAGCAGAATGGGAATAGCTTTGGTGATGCCAACCAGTGAGCCAAAGATCAGGTTGCCCAGCACAGCTGCCAGCTTACAGATGGCATTACAGAAGCCAAATCCAGTGCCCCTGAAACAAAAAACACAGAAAGACAGTCGTGTACAGTTGAAAACAGATTTTACATACACTACAGACAAACATACATGTTCCTAGTTGGAAGCATTATCTTTAAACTGCATAATTTAGGCCAATCATTTTGAAAAAGCACACTGTTAGGACAAAACAGGCTTCAGAGTAAATCAAGAAAAAGGTTGGAATGGTTCAGGAACAAAGTTATAATTGAAGGTTAAAACCAGATTTGTTCAGGGCAAGACAAACAAAGTAAAAAAATTATTAGCAATAAAATGAAAGAAAATTTAATTTGTTGATGTAAATGTAATTTCACATGATGTGTTCAGAAGAACAGCCGTAAAATAAACACTAAACTGAACAGTTATTAATTTAGCTGCAGCCGGTCGAGGCAGATGGTCTCCTGTCCTGAGCCTGGTTCTGCTGGAGGTTTCTTCCTGATTAGCAGGGAGTTTTTCCTCTACTCTGCCAACGTGCTGCTCAGGATGGGAGACTGTGATGAAGCTAAGATTCAGCACAGTCTTCTGGCTTCTTTAGATTTATTTATTTAATTTATTTTGTGTACAGTACCCCAAGACAACAGTTGTTGTAACTTGGCGCTATATAAATTGAACTGAATTTAATTGAATACATGCTTGCTATCTGCATTTTATGGATATTGAAGATATGTCTACCCAGGTGAAAAAAAATACTACAGTACATTAAATCTTAAGTACACTTTAGCACTAAACATCAGTTTACTTAAAGAGTGATATTTTGGAACAACTAATTTAATACTAAATTTATTTTAATTGCATTTTAGTTGTACAAAATAACTATTTTAAGTGTATTAAGTATACTTTTAAATAGAAAAATGGAACAACTTAAAATATACTTCATATATTGTAAGTATGTAAACATTAAAATTGTATAAAGTATATTTGAAGTTGTTCCATTTTAGTTTTTAAAAGTACACTTAATACACTTAAAATTGTGCTTTTGTACAACTTAAAAACAACTAAATTATATTTAGTATTAAATTAGTTGTTCCAAAATAGCACTCTTTAAGTATACTGATGATAAGTGTGGCTTCAAGTATACTAAACTATACTTAGATTTGTATACTTAGTATATTTTTTCACCTAGGTATTTTACTTCATACTAAGGTATTGCAAACGTATTAGGCCACAAGTTTACTGAAGGCTGAATTAAATAATGGACTACTCAACAGTCCCCTATTTAATTAATCCTTCAGTATACTGGTAGTCTAATACTTTTGCAGTACCTTAGTATGAAGTAAATAATGTACAAAGTAGCATAGAGTAAAAAGGTTCACACAAAACCCTATACTTAAAATGTACAAAGTATACTTGAAGTTCCACTGTAGCAAAGCAACATATTTCACTTATTTCTAAAATAAAGGTTAATTCTCCTGTGCAGATGTTCAAAGTTACTTTTCTTTAAACTTTAGAAGATTTCCTCAAACTGTCATCTGATCTCACCTCCTGTCTGTAGGGTACAGCTCAGTGGTGACCACATCCAAGGAGTTCCATGCAGAGATACTGAGGCCGTTGTAGAGACACAACATGAAGATCATCATCGACTCACTGGTGCCAAACCAAAGAAAAAAGCAGCTGATTCCCGATAGCACCATGGAGCCTCCTGCAGGATGTCAAAGAGATTGTTTTTAAAACTCGCTTCATTTATTTCTCTGGAGGTCATTGCAGATGCAAATGTCAACAAGACAGCAAGACAGTTTCCACAAAGCATGCACTGTTATTTAAATTCCAAACAAAAAGTTAGAGTAGATCCTCAGTCATGAGAGAGAATCTCGTGTCTTACCTAACATACTGAGGCGCCCTATCTTGTCCATGAGGAGAGCAGAGACAATGTTTCCGGGTAGCACAGCCAGTGTTCCCAGGAAGTTAACAAAATACACCCAATAGGCACTGTAGTCATCATCAAATGTCATCTGACAGCCTGTCTTGTTGTGGTGGAAAGAGCTGTTGATCACCTTTGAGGTTTTTAGCTTGGCGTCATCAACATCTGTGAATGTAAACGAAAAAGATCAAATTAGAAAGAAAGATTTCAATATTGAGGGCTGAAACTTTTACTTAAGAAACCTGATCTTGATTCAGGAGTTCTGGCCAACTGCAGACATGTATCTAATCTCCCATTCATCTCAAAATTTCTTGAGAAATTAGTTGCAAATCAGCTACGTGAACATCTGGATAGAAATAATCTACATGAGGGGTTTCACTCAGGGCTCATCATAGCACAGAAACAGCACTGGTGAAAGTTACTAATGATATTCTCATGGCCTCAGACAGTGGACTTGTGTCCATTCTTGTCCTGTTAGATCTCAGTGCTGCATTTGATACAACTGATCACAATATTTTATTACGTAGACTTGAACTTGATATTGGGATTACTGGAACACCACTAAAATGGTTTAAGTCTTATTTAACTGATAGATTTCAGTTTGTTAATGTTAAAAATGAATCTTCCTTACACCAGAGTTAGTCATGGAGTTCCTCAGGGTTCAGTGCTTGGACCAATCCTCTTTACTTTGCATACGCTTCCATTAGGTTAAGTTATTAAACAGCATGGGATAAATTTCCATTGTTATGCTGATGATACTCAGTTATATTTATCCAGGAAACCTGATGAATCCAACCAGTTACTTAAACTACAAGCATGTCTTACAGACATAAAAACATGGATGACTTAATTTTCAGCTTCTAAACTCAGGTAAGACAGAGGTTATGGTTCTTGGACCTGAACATCTAAGGGATCAACTTTGCAGCCTTTCACCTCCTCTGGATGACATTAATCTGGCCTCCATTTCTAATGTAAAGAACCTTGGTGTTATTTTTGATCAGGATGTCTTTTCCCCACATTAAAAATGTTAACAGGACCGCCTTCTTCCACCCGCGTAATATCACTAAAATTAGAAATATTTTGTCCAAAAATGATGCAGAAAAACTGATTCATGCATTTATCACGTCTAGACTGGATTACTGTAATTCTTTATTATCTGGATGTCTAAAAAACTCTTTAAGAAGTCTTCAGTTAATCCAAAATGCTGCTGCTAGAGTTTTAATGAGAGTTGGAAGGAGAGATCATAGTTCTCCAGTTTTAGCTTCTCTCCACTGGCTCCCTGTCAAATTCAGAACAGAATTTAAAATATTACTCCTCACATACAAAGCTCTTAACAACCAAGCTCCATCATATATTAAACATCTTATTGTTCCATACTTTCCTAACAGAGCACTTCACTCTCAGACTGCAGGTTTACTTGTGGTTCCTGGAGTTTCTAAAAGTAGAATGGGAGGCAGAGCTTTCAGTTATCAAGCTCCTCTCTTGTGGAACCAACTTCCAGTTTCTGTCCGTGAGGCTGACACTCTGTCTGCTTTTAAGATTAGACTGAAGACTTTCCTTTTTGATAAATCCTGTAGTTAGACTTAGGTTTCCTGAATTATTCTTCATTTGGGGCCGGGGCGGTTTTGGCAGAGTGGTTAGGGGAGTTGTCCTGGAACTGGAAGGTCGCTGGTTTGATCCCCCGCCCAGCTGTCTCAGTTGTTGTGTCCTTGGCCAGGACACTTCACCCCTAATGCCTCTGATGTGTCCCATCAGTATATGAATGTGATTGGCACTGATTAGTCTCCATAGATGATTGTACATGTTAGCTTTGTAGAGATCTAATAGAGTTATGTGTGAATGGATAAATGAGGACACAGATTGTAGTGTGAAGAGCTTTGAGTGTCCTGGGGTCAGATTTATAAAGGATTGCGTGGAAACCATACTAAAAGTGAACGTACGGCCAAAAGGCAGAAATGAAAAAGGCAAAAAAAAATTTCAGATTTATAAAACCGTGCGTATGCATGTTTCTGCGCACCTTTCATTTATAAATCACAGCCACACGTCAGAGTTTGCACTCAAGGTCCGCCTCAGGTTCTACCCTCTACACGCCCACACTCAACCATAAACAGTCAATGTAAAGTACCTCATTAAGATGTATTTAAATCAGTCAGCTGATCAATGTCAAAAACAGCGATTGGCCGACTCAGACTCGCGCTCCGTCGTGCATCTGGAGGATGACAGGTGCTGACTGACAGCTGTTCACGTGAACAGAATGTCTATAACCGACAGATTTTCCCTCATTTTGCAGGTTTACAGACATTTGGAGTAATCTAATGACTTTTAACAAAAACTCAGCTTCCCTGCTGAGCCTGCAGGATGATAAAAACAATAAATAAAATTAAATAAGTCAGATAAACTTAGAAATCATTTCACCACTCATCTCCCCATCCTCCCCCTCGTCTGTTATCTGCGGCAGACCCCTCACACACACATGCGCGCGCGCACACACATCCCCACAGCGCCACCACCCCGCACGTGACAAATATGGACTTTAAAAAGCAAAGTTTTATACTAACATCCACACACAGGTGAGGGTGGGCGTGCCCTGCGCGTACCCAAAGCGTGATGCCGTGCTGCTGAAATGTGTCATGTCAGGGAGGGGTCTGTGGGTCAGGGAGGGGTCTGTGGGTCAGGGAGGGGTCTGTG